GATTTGTGTGTTTTGCTGGGCTAGGGGGCCAGAGTACTCAATCCACTGCAAGATCAAGCCCACTTAAGCCAAGTACCACTGATTTCTACCATCTGCCCCCAGGAAGTGTTTGTCAAACGAGCTCAACAATGGAGAGTGGATATTTTATTGAAGATATCACAAGTCTACTTGTGACCTGATCAAAATTTGATTTCAGCTTTCACGATAAAGGCTACAGTTCAATCCTAGCCTACCATCTTGCTAATGTTTCCTTTATGAGCAAGTGCTCAAGCTCAGAAGCCCCCTTCTGCTGTGACTAAGCAGTTTTCAATGCTTTATAAATATGTGTACATCTCTATTTAAAACTAGATCACACTGGGTGCATTTACACTGCACCGTAACTCAAAATAAAGATACGCAATTTGAGCTACACAAATTGCATATCTTATTGTGATGCTATTTCGAAATAGCTTATTTTGTCATTTGGCACGGTCTATACTGTGCCAAATTTTGAAATAAAGTGCTATTTTGAAACGTCCTTTATTACTTATAGAATGAGGTTTACAGGGATGTCGGAATAGCAAGCTCAAAATAACAGGCTTCCTGTGAAGACACGAGATAGCTACTTCGGGATACTCTGGTATCCCAAAATAGCGTTGCAGTAAAGACATACTTGTTATGTTTCACAAGTGCCCCATTGTTTTTGATCCAATGTTTATTTTAGTTATAGGTCATTCTTGCTACAAGTCCAAGATATAATCCAAAAAACTTGGACTTATAGTGAAGCAACTTAAAATAGGGATTCCCCCCCTCCCCCCCACAGCTGACTTCCATTTGCACAATTTTTTTGGGTGCAATTTAAGAGCAGAGTAGGGGGCACTTACAATGCATCAGTTCCTACAGTCAAAGACTTTATTGTGGAACAGATGTATACCGGGGTGACTTATAGCAGGGACACCCTGTACTTATTACCAGATATTTTGGGATAGATTCTGCATTTTCCTAATGCCGCTGTGCACAGATAAAAAGAACACTTTTCTATCCTTATCTATGCAGAGGAGTAACTATTGATAGTTTGACATTGTTTAAAAGCACTCAGCTTATGTTCTAGATGTCTATGTATTCTTTTAATGTGGTAAAACAATATAATCTTTTTGAAGTTAAATAATGCCAGTCTAAATGGCCAAATAGCTATAAATTTGGGGAGGGGAGAGGTTCTTAAAGCGTGCTTGAAAGAAAATATTTTAAAAACTAACTACTAAATAGACAAGTCAAGTAATTTTCAAATGAAGTTTACAATTATTAGGGAGACCACAATACTGGAATAATACTTCCAGTTCTTGTGTTGATGTTTAAAACAGGATGTTGAAAAATTGGGAACCACAAAAGTGGTTTGAGAGCTGAACAAAATGCCATAGAGCATTGATCCAAAGCACAGAAGTACTTGAAGCATCAGAAAAGTGGGCAAGTGAAACAGGGACACATGTGGTAGAGGACCAATGCCTTGAAAAACTGCACAGGTCCAGTGTTAATGCCTCCTTCCTATCTATTTTGGGTGAACGTTACCCATGAGGACACGTTTTCCTTGTGGGCAAGGAAATGCAGAAACTGCAACTATCTGTGGCCCTTGCATGGTGGGCTGGATGCAGTTGTGGACCTAGAATGCACAGTAATTTAACTCTATAGTTTTGAAAGTTTTTTCGAAGAGGGAAGCTCTGTCATTTTATTGAGCTTCCCAAATTAACCTTACTGAGAATTTTAATGCTTTACTGTTGCACTATTTTATTAAAATAGTTCCATCTCTGAGGCAGGAGAGGAGTTCTTTAAAAAAAACAAAAGCTATAACTCACGCGTTCAAGCATATGAAACAATTTTCTGTATTCTGTTACCTTCAGTTATTCCTTCAGAGGGATTCAACATATTTCTGTTCACTGGAATTCGGTGACCCATTGAGATGACAAGCCCTGGTGAAGTTTTAACAATAGAGCAGATTTCTTTGTTTTTTCTATTCAATTTCTTGTTTTGTCTTTCCTCGTGGTGCACAGACTGAAAAGAGTGAGGTGACTCCAGTTATATGATAGCTATTGACATGTAAGGGATCTTCTCAAACCTTCTTTAGGGGAAGCTCTTGATATCAGTAGGAGGATGGAATAAGGCCATTAGAGATCAGATATCAAAGAGCATTGCTACAGAATATCAAACTAAGATTATTCTTGTGCGTTGAATGAATTACTATAGTAACAATTATGAAAAAAAAAATTATTTAAGTCAGCCATTGAAATATTTCTATTACTAAGTTCTAATAAAGTATTACAATATTATACACAGTTTAACACATTTTTATCATGAAACTATTAGACCAGGGCTAAAAATCAATAAAAATAAATGACAACCTGATTAACAGTTTTTTCTTCTAAACTCAAAGATGCAGGAGCAATTTCTTCTGAGTTTACATATGGACCCGATGAATTTAGGAATAAGTCTTCACCAAAAGAGGTCTTGTGCACTGGTGACAAGTTAAACTACACCTCAACCAAAATATAAGCAATATCATTAATGTGTATTTAAAATTAAACTTATTTACTGGTAAGGTAATAAAACTGAATTCAAACTGGCTAGCTCCTAAGGGCACGTTTTCACTTGCCACACTGGAGATCGATTTACTTGCTAAATCGAGTGCTAGAATGTCAAAGACCTGTAAAGCAAACACTATGCTCTTCGCAGTCACAAGGAGTAAGAAAAGCCGATTGGAGCATTTGTTCCCGTTGGCCTCCCACTGTGGGAACATCACCAAGCTTGGCTTAAGGTAAGCCGACTCCAGCTACGTATTTTATGTAGCTGGAGTTGCATACCTTAAGACGGCCTTGCAGGTCTAGTGTAGACCTAGCCTAAAGAATACATGGCCTCTGCTGAAAGGACAGGATTAGGAATGACAAATGCCCAAATCACTGAAGAGTCATCTACAATATTGGGCAAATCATAGGTATGTCTACACAGCAGCTGGGAGTGAGTCACCCAGCCCAGATAGACAGACTTGAAATAGGGAGGGGCTTATGGTATCACACTAAAAGCAGAGTGGATGTTGCAGCTGGTGGAAGCTCAGGCTCGTGTTCTGAGCTTAAAACCACCCAATCTCCTCTGTCTGAGCACTGGTGGCTAGCCCAAGGCTCAGCCAGAGCCACTACATGCAATATGCTATTTTTAGCATTCTAGTGCAAGCTCTGCTGGCATAAGTCTGTATTGGGGCTGGTAATCTTCCTCTCAGCTGCAATATAAACATTTTTATTCTCTTATTTAATATCCTCATGTAGAAAATCTGACATGGTTAATACTTCTCACATGATTTGTTAGGGTCAATAAATTTGAGTTTAAAAAGCAAGTTCTGCAGAAAGAGCTTGATGTATTATTATAGCAACACACAATACTGGAAAAAGTCAGTACAACTTCCATCAGAATAATTTGATTCCAATAGGAAGACTCCATAATATGAAGGAGCCTCTCTAAAACTATGTGGTTCATTTTGTCTGAATTCATCTCACTTATCCTGTACAAAGATAAAAACTAATGCATTAAAGGTTTTTTAAAAATGAAATTCACATGTGAGTGGCATTTGTTTTCAACAAACATGTTTTAAAATAAAAGCCGTTAAATTAAAACCTAACTACATCAAACATTCAATTTTAACAAGAAGGTATTCTAAGAAACATCCTGTTAGTTATAAACAATTGTGCAGCAAATCTAATGAAGTGTGTAAAAAGTCAGGCAATTGCTTTTTTAAATGAGGTGTTTACAAACTGTATGTATGTATGTATGGAAGGAATGGCTACCATATGAGGAGAGGTTAACAAGAATGGTACTTTTCGGCTTGTAAAGAGACAACTAAGGGGGAAGGATGTGAAAGATGTATAAAATCATGACTGGTGGGGAGAATGTGAAGTAAAAGGTCACCAAATGAAAGTAATAGGCAGCAGGTTTAAAAAACAAACAAAAGGAAATACTTCTTCACACAACACACAGTCAATCCATGAAACTCTTTGCCAGATGATGTTGTGAAGCCCAAGACTATAACAGGGTTCAAAAAAAAGAGCTTGATAAAATTCATGGAGGATAGGTGCATCAATGGCTATTAGCCAGAATGGGCAGGGATGATGTCCCTAGACTCTGTCAGAAGCTTGGAATGGATGACAAGGGATAGGTAACTTCATGATTCCCTGTTCTGTTCATTCTCTCTATCACCTGGCATTGGCTGTTGCCAAAAGACAGAAGACTGGGCCAGACACACCTTTGGTCTGATCCAGTATAGCCATTCTTATGTATATTTAATTTATTCCTAAACATTCTCAATTTATAAAAGTTTACCCATGAATGTTAACTCTTTCAACTGTTTTACTATATTAAAGAAAAGAAGACAGTACCCACCAGTGTTTTGTACCTCACCTCCAATTCTTCTGGCTGAAAGTATGCTGTGCTTGTTAGCAGTTGTCTGTGTTTTTCTGTGATCAATACTTTAGAATTCATGTCCTATTTAGAAATACAGGAGAGTATGTAAACATCAAAAATACTCTTGCAATTTCCTTCTTTTGTAATATGGCATCCTATTTTATTCCCTTTTTACAAAGTGGCACATTCTGTGATTCTATTAAAATTCTAAGAAACTGATTTAAAAGGTAAAGTTACGGTTCATCCTACATTCATGTTACTTTTGTTCTTGGGACAAGAATTTACTCTCCAACCTCACCCTAATTCATAGATTAGTCACTTCTTCTCTGTCTAGTGATCTGATAACAGTTATATCTTTTCCCTGATTCTCCAAATCATTCTAAATTAGGAAACAAGTTAGAAAGTACTAGCTGCTAGTGACTAACTAGTTTTGTCTCCAAAACACACACCCCCTCCCCCACCATTGCCACCCACAACTTTCAGACTTTCATTAAAACTAAATTATTTGCCCTTTAAGGGAATCTGGTCGTTTTTAAAAAATCCAGATATGAGACTTATTTTTATTTTCTGTAGCCCCACATGAATTCTGTTACTCTGCCCACTTACTGGGGAGAGTGAACAGTCCTTTGAACATTTATTATTTAGGCTTTCAGATTTATTTGGGAATTTAGTATTGGAAAAGCCTAAGCATACTGAAAAAGCAGAAGTATGCAATATACAAAGCGATCTAGAAACCTGCATTTGGAAGCTCAAAGCTCATATGTGAAGTCATTTTAGGGTCTCCCTCCCTAGCACACGCACGTTTACTGTTTTTGCGAATCGTACTAAGAGAGGAAGACAATAACTGGAAATGGTAGAAGTGCTAACTTTTTTTGTTTCACTTTTCACCAAAAAGGTTAGTAGTGATCAAATGTTTAATGCATTGAAAGCCAGTGAAAATGAGGTAGGAACTGAGGCTAAAACAAAGAAAGAACAAGTTAAAAAAAATGTTAGAATGTGTAGACAACTTAGGTGTTTTCAGGTCTGCAGGGCTTGAAGACATAGCTCCTCGGTCAGTTATTGAGTATTTAAGATTTTTCTGAGTCATTAGTGATTGTCTTTGAAAATTCATGGAAGATGGGAGACTTCATGGAAGATGAGATTGCAGATGACTGGAAGAGGACAACTATAGTACCAGTCTATAAAGAGTGAAATAAGGACAACTTGGGGAATTACTAACCTATTAGCATAATTTCAGTACTTAAGAGAACAGAGCAAATAATCAAGCAATCAATGTGCACATCTAGAAAAAGGGTAAGTAGCAATCAACATGGATTTGTCAAGAACAAATCATGTCAAATTAACCTAATAGCTTTGTGGATAAAGGAGTGGTAGATGATCGGTTTTGACTTTCAGGTCAATTTCAAAAGTCTTACTAATGACCTTCTTATAAACTAGGGAATATAGCTTAACTTTCAACTGAAACTCATGTGAGCTGGACTTACGGAATCACATTAACAGAAGTGGGCCAAAATTCTCTGGTGTATGTTAGTCTAAATATTTGTAACCACTATATTAGAGATTTTCTCTAGATAGGGAACTCTAACAAATCTTCCTGGCCCTATGGTTGCACTACTAATGATCACAACACTATTATAGATCTGCTTCTGGCTGCTTTAATAGATTCGCTAATGCTACTTGAAGCAGTTAGTGAAGATAACACATGACATTCTACACTAGCACTCCATTCAATGGTAATGAAAGGATGAAGATGTTAACCAAAAGTTCCATATACACAAGAGAAACGAGCATGACCTACTCTAACCAGAATCATGTTCAACACCACAGGGCCTGATCCTGCATGGCTTGTGCTCTCAGGATACCTGTATGCTTGAATGCGAGTTCTGAATACACAAGGAATGCTGAAAAATGGATCATCTATTGTCTATGTAAAAGTAAGCTTAAATTTCATGCTTCCAAGTGAATATATACTCAGTTTGCCTGATAATACTTTTCATTTTCAGATTTCAGCTTTGTATTATTAACCTTCACAGCTTCCATCATTGTCGAGTGGAATTCTCACTTTTATCTATGGCAACTCTCCCATTTTAAGCCTCAACGGGCAAAGAGTGCAGTGGAAATGCTTACCATCTCTATGTCTAATTGTTTGGATGGCAGCATTTCTGCCATCAACTCTTGTGATTTAGTTAAAGTGCATTCTGCAGGTACAAGGTGATGGCATGAAGAGGTCTCATTCTTCAACAGACTGCTGAATTTTACTTTTTTTCGGCACTTCATGTTTTTAGGAATAATTTGGTTATCAAGCTATAATGAGATGAAAAATTTATACTTCATATTATAAAATGGACAAAATGATAGAATACATTGATTCTCAACAGTCAAATCATTGTCTTAAACCACATTTCTAGGTACAGTTGAACTGATACAAGTTACACAGTAGCACCTACCCACTCAGTCAGGGACTAGTAGGGCTAGCCAACTCTCCCCCTAACCGCAGCCCCCATTCACTCCCTGGTTTACATGGTACAGAAAAGAGGTATTACTGCCATGATTCCAGAGTGACCCCTAATTCAGTCTTTCATGGGTACCCCTTTCAAGTGATAGGTCCAGCCCTTACACTACTTATGGCCATGTTGCTAAAAGTTGTGCAGTGTAAATTCCATTTGTCAGCACTTTTAGGCTACATCTAGATAGCAGTGCTATTTCAGGATACCGTAAGTATCCCAAAATAGCAATTCCACGTCTTTAAATGTACCCATTATTTCAAAATAATGGGTGCACTATTCTGGCATCCCTGAACCCTCGTTCCATAGACATTAAGGGACTTGTCAGAATACAGCTTTATTTCAAGGTAAGGATGCTGTATAGACACACCATTACTGACAAAATACTTCCACCTCCGAGTGGGGTTCACGGTCAGAGCGCTCCCTGCTGACAATACTTTACACACCACCACTTGTGGCGGCAACACAAAAATAGTGTCACTCAATTACCAATGCAGACAATTGGTCAGAGTGGAGCCACATGACTTTTAGGTTGAATCATCTACTTACAAATCCCTGTTCACCAGCCACCTTTCCTCAGCAGGTGCATCTGGGCTCAGACCCTACTGTAGATTTCCCTTTAGGAAGTGTGAGCAGTTGGTAAATAAGGAAATGGAATAATTTCTTCAAAACCAAGCATCATTTATTCATAGGAACATAGCCATTTTAATGAGAGGGTTGAAACAAGATACCTGCAGCATTCCTTATTGCCTTACCCAAGAGTTTATCTACACTATAAAGTTGTGTCAATGAAACTTACATTAACAAACACCTAAAAGACAACAAAAATCCCTACAGCCTCCTCAGCTTCTGGGAGTGGTATCATGAGTAGCTCTGACCTACTCTACAGTAACCCCAGCCACTGCTCTACTTCAGCGATGCAAATAGCATCGCTGAAGTAGGCACACTTACCACAGCGTCTTGTATATAGTGAGGTAAGTTGGGGTTTTTCCTCCCGTTGACACCAGCTACTCTTCTCATCCTGGTGGAGTACCAGCATCGCCAGGAGCATGGCTTGGAAATAGTTTTATCAAGTCTAAGCAGATATGGTAAGTTGACATCTGATAGCCTCGTGATGTTGCAAAAAAAAAAAAATCAATCTTTCGGGGGGCCCACTTTGCTGCCCCCAAAGATGAACGCCGCACTGATACTACCTCCAGGGACAACGGAGGTAGCACAGGCTTCCAACAGGGTGGGAGGAAGTTCTGCAACTGTGCCCTAGGTCCCGGAAGTTCGCAGGATAATCTTCCTCTCCCCCTCCCTCCCCCAAACAGCTGGCGCAGTACCTAAAACTCCGGTCCGTCGCGTGCTGGGGACTTCATTCCCCTGCTGCCTTCTTGTGTGAGGGGAAGGAGGTGGGGATCTGGGACTGTGCTGGCTCCAGCTCCTCAGGCGGTGCATGCTGCTGTGGGGAGTGGAGGAGCAAGGCACACACTGTCCGAGTGGTTGGGGTGGCACGGTCCAGGACTCTCCCTCCCCCCTGCGCAGGAAGGCAGCAGGGGAATAAAGTCTCCAGCACGCCAGCTCCAGCTGGTGCAGTCCGGGACTCCTCTCCCCCTATTCACACCTCGTGCAGGAAGGCAGGTGTATGACAGACCAGCGTTTCAGGTACCGCACCACTGTTTCGGAGACAGGGGAGTGGATGTTGCAGCTGGTGGAAGCTCAGGCCCACACATTTCCTAGGCCTTGGCATGTAGCTGCAGGATCCCCAGGTACCGGTCCCTGTCCCCGTCCAGACCCCCACAAGTACCCTGCCCTGGCAACCACCAGCACCCTGTCCCCTGCCCCAGCACCCACCGGCACCCTGCCCCAGACCCCTGTCCTGACACCCACAAGCACTCTGTCCCCTGCCCCCACCAGCACTGTTGGGGCCACATTAGTGAGGCTTGAAGGGCTCTGTTTTTGTATCTCACTTGTGTGGCCCTGACTGACTTTTCTGTGTGTCACTGACTCAAAACAGGTTCCCTGCTCCTCTCAAAGACAATGCTGAAATCTTTTGTGTTTGACATAATATTTTATTTAAAAATGAAGCCTGGCCAACAAGCCCCCATTTGAGGCCAAGCCCTCATCTGGCCACAGCATCATAACATTCCTGTACCCCCCACCCCGACCCCAAATCTGAACCTATCATACACTGGAACTCCCTGTCCTGAAACTCTCATCCCCAAACTCCTGCATCCCCACATCAGTCTTCTGCCACAACACACTTACACCATTCACACACCGCAAATCTATGTCCTGAGCCCATCATACTCCCAACCTCCCTGCCCTGAGCCCCTCACACATCCCAACCCAAACTCCTGCACCCTCACAACCACAAGCCTGTGGCTTGCTCAGCACCCCAACACTCCCCAGTCTGGAGCTCCCTCCCTCCCTGACCCAGCATCCTCTTCTCCACCTCCTCCTGCATCCAAATTCCCTCCCAGAGCTTGCATTTCTCACCCCTTCCCACACCTAAATCCCTCATTCCCACCCCAGAGCCCGCACCTCCTGTCTCAATCCAGTGAGGCTAGACTGCAGGGCTACGTCTACACTGGCATGATTTTCCGGAAATGCTTTTAACGGAAAAGTTTTCCGTTAAAAGCATTTTTGGAAAAGCGCGTCTAGATTGGCAGGACGCTTTTCCGGAAAAACACTTTTCCCGGAAAAGCTTCCGTGGCCAATTTAGATGCGCTTTTCCGCAAAAAAGCCCTGATGGTCATTTTCACGATCGGGGCTTTTTTGCGGAAAACACTACTGTGCTATCTACACTGGCCCTTTTCCGGAACAGTTTTCCAGAAAAAGACTTTTGCCCGAACGGGAGCAGCATATTTTTTCCGGAAAAGCACTGATGATTTTACATTAGATCGTCAGTGCTCTTCTGGAAATTCAAGCGGCCAGTGTAGACAGCTGGCAAGTTTTTCCAGAAAAGTGGCTGATTTTCCAGAATAACTTGCCAGTGTAGACACAGCCCAGGAGTTTTTCCAGCAAACACACTCTTTTGGTAGCCCCTGTATTCCTCGTTCCACAAGGAATGAGGGGGCTTCCAAAAGTAGGGGGTTTTCTGACATTTGGCGCAGTCTAGATGGGCCAAATGTCGGAAAAAATTTTTCCAACATAAGGATAGAAAAAAAAAAGCGGTGGTGTATGATGAAAACAACTTGAGAGTGTATAAGGGCTGGGGATAGCAAATGATGGAGAGAAGGGGAACAGAGAGGGCAGGGCCTCAAGGAAGGAGTGGGGTCTTGGGGAAGGGATGGGGTAGATCTTGGCTTGTGCTGACATTTAAAAAGTGATCTTGGGTGCTTGGATGTAAAAAGGTTGGAGACTACTGATTCTTTGCCTCTCAGCTTCAGGGCAGAGGCTTTTAATAGTGTTCACTTTTGTAAGATTTCTTGCCTGAAAATTCCTCTGTCCCAAAATAAGGATGGTCCTGTCTCCCTTGGACAGAGACAAAGAACAACAAAAACTTTTTATGCCTGTATTGTCAGTTAAATCATTAGTTTCAGGGTTGTCTAAAGCCATGTTCTTTGGATTCTTGTAGATGTGCTATATATATCATCTTGGGCTGATTTAACTCTTTGCACCCACGTAACACAGTCAGCAATCTAACACACCTAAAAGATACAGATCTCCTCTGGGTTCTTTACACTTACCATTACCAAGGATCTGCTAACATAACGGACTTCAAACATATTTCTGAAACAAGGCATCTGTCAAGATATATATTTTTTAAAGTTCCACAGTGATATCTGCCTGCTCAAATTACAACAAAGTATATTAATGGTTAAACCCTCACCTGTCTCTTTCGTCTTCCAGATACTGAAGAGAACAAACTGATTTTTGCATCAGGAGTTTTTTCAGTACTAGACATAATTTTGCCCACTTGTTTTCCTATGATGAAAACAATTTTTTTTTAATTTTGGAGAATAGTAGTATAGTTGTTCTCTATCCCATATATTGGGAATTCTCTTAAAATTGAAAATCATAAATCACGCCACAAAATCCATATGCAGGGCTAACTACTTTTGGTCTATTCCTGGTTCAGTCCTTGGTAGCAGTTTGGACATGCTTTTCCTGCTCATTTGGCTCCCTACTGCTCCCACTGATGTGGTCCAGCTCTGTACACAAACCATTGTACAAGTCAGGAAGCAGTCTCTGATGGTGTTGGCCTTTGCTGTTATTTTCAGCCCCAATTCACCAGAAAACATTAAGCAGTTTTTTGGACCATAAAAAAAACCTGCAAATTTAGCTCAAATTCTGAATGAATTCCAACTATCAGGAGCTACTGATGGAAGCCTTCATTTTCAAATACCATCAAAACCCCCAGAAAACACACACAAAATGAAGGGTCAAGAAAAAAAAAGTATTAGCAGTTCTGCACTTGATTAAGTTAAACTTTTATTTTTATCTCGAAGGGAAAGGCAAGAAATTGCCTTTTATTGGACACTGTATGTAATTAACTGGCATACAGAAGGGAGTTTGTTTCCCATAACATTTGGCTGGGTGTTTTGGATTAAACCTAGTTTACTTTACAGAAGAGGTTTTAATAAACAGGTTCTCTTCCCCCTCCCTTCTCATGCTCCTAGCAAAGCTCATCCTTATGAGAGATAAAGGGTCAGGAATGAGCCTAGTTCAAATTGGGAGACCAGAGCTTTAAGTTTCATGTGAAAGATAATGGAAATGTCAATGGTTTTGCATATAGCTGCTAGCAGCAAGTATTGCCAATGGCCAGTGATGAGACACTAGATGGGAGGGCTCCAAGTTACTACAGAAAAGTCTTTCCTAAGATCTTGTTGGTGGGTCTTGCCCATGTGCTCAGGGTCTAACTGACCACCATATTTGGGGTCAGAAAGGAATTTTCTCCTGGGTCAGATTAGCAGAGACCCTGAGCAAGGGATGGGGGATGCAGTGTTCACCTTCCTCTGTCGTATGGGGCTACTGGTCACTTGCAGATCTAATGTAGTATAAGCTGACAGATTTTCTACAATTCAGTCTTTAAATCATGCTTTGAGGACTTCAGTAATTCAACCCAAGGCTTTGGGTCTATTACAGGAGCGGATGAGCAAGGTTCTGCAGTCTGCTATCCCTTCTAATATTAAAGTCCATTAAAAACATAAAGTAACACTTTTAGTAGAAAGTCTCAGCTTTTTTTCCACTGAGACTTTCCAACCTGCCAGTGCAGTACACCTTTCTAGCCATCGTATAATTTCAATTATTCTTCAATTGATTTAAGAACTACAGTAAAACTCCATTGGTCCAACATCTGATGGTCCAGCACCATCAGAACCTGGAAGTGCTCCGGCAGCCGGACCATTGGAGCTGCTCTGCCCCTGGCTTCCCTGATTCAGCCGCTGCTGAAACTGAACCACACATC